ACCCTACTATCATCTATATATACACACTGTTCACTGCTGCGACACTTCATTGGTCACACCATGACGCCACCCACACACATTACCCAAACTTCGGTTAAGTTGTCTTGCTCCGCATCATACACAGTTTTGCCACTTCTCAAAGACATGATATATGGAATTGTTTGTTTCCTATAACCGTTTGCTGTACATTTCGAAGCCCTGCGAGGCTGGTACTTTGGACACTCGTTTACACACAAAGGACCTGCGAGTCCTAACTACCTGGCAAACTAAAACGTGATGCCACACTGAATATCAAACGATAATATAAACGAAAATTGCAACAAACAACAAAAAACAAACCAACAACCTCACAATATTAGCATATGCAAACTGATAGCGATACACCATCACAAAAGCAAACAAGTCAACAAATTCATGAACCTGCACTCACTGGGAAAAAACACAAGATTACTTGATAATATCTGTCAATATGGTTACAAGTTGTACTTTACGGGACCTGCGTGTCCCTCTTCTTCCAATATGTTTCCAGATCTACGCGTCTGCATCTTTAGAACTCAAAGTTAAGTTATTTATCACATTGGATACGTGCGAGACCTGCGAGCCTCACCCTTTTTTCCACAATATATGAATCTATATTAAACAAAAATATATTTACACAAAAAAAAAATGGGCAGGCCCGGAGTTACCACATATATCCATTGTAGTAGCTAAAATCAGGGACAACTATCTTATGGAAAGATTAACAGCACAGATCCGCAAAGTCACCGCCACCTTTAATAAGGTATGAGAACTCTCGGAACAATATGAAGATTAGCATCATAGACAAACAAGAGACGCACGGGGATCCTCATGCACCCACCCACACAGCTCCGATCGCTCCAGCACGCAGAGTAACAATATGATCCCCTCTGGTGTCGCAGAGCCATTTACTACATTTACTGTTTGTATTTTCTCATGTTTCATTCGTTTTTGATAACATAAAATCTGACAGATTGTGAACAAGCTAAGCACAAATAGTTGATGCATGGCATGCATTTAACCCACATCTTTTCAGTCCTGTGATATTGTAACGCTGATGCATTTACAGAGATACGGTTTCTGCGCGTGCCTCCTCATACAGCACTGTTTCAGTCTATGTCAATGTAAAAATAAAGAATTTAAATTAAAAAAATAAGAATGAAATTATAAACACATAACATATATGTATTATCTTTTTTAATAAAAATTTTCCGAATTCTTCAAAAACAGTGTATAATCCTAGACAATGAAGTGACCTGTTTGTAACTCAGGTGTATTGTCGTAAAAATGTGACATTTCCTGATCAAATCAGACTTCATGATAAACCATATCTATTTGGAACAAACTACATTTTTATTTGAAAGCGCTTACTAAACAAGCTTGTAGTATATTAGTTTACTAAAATATATCAAATTATTAAGTTAAACATTAGAGCATAGCATAAACAGTATAGGTGTCTTTAAATAATGTTTTGTTTAAACGTTTTGTGTGACATTAAACCACTTTCATAAGGAGTTCCCTTTTGAATGAGCATCTCAGTAACTTTTACATGAATGTCTACTATATTTGCAACATCAATCCCTTCTAAAGATATTAACTTTCAAATCAAGATGGAATAAAAAATGAAAAATGATCAGTTTCGAATTTCACTGCTTTCGTATGATATCGTATATACTGTAATTGCACGTGTCATTACAAACAAATTTTAATTTTGAGAAAATAAAACAACGAACACTCATCTTGCTAATGTTTTTCATTCTTATGAAAATATCCTTTTACAAAGTACAATTTATTAATATCTAAGTTTGTGTTAATTGAAATTATTTTGAACATTATTAGACAAGCAATATGGTTGAAAATAAAGAATCTTAATTTAACGATAATTAATAGATGGTGATATTCCCAATATTCATGTAATTTGAACAGTATACTCTCATGTATTATAATCTCGTCAACTGGGCAAATAATAAATAGTTCCATGTTTTTAAAAATCTATTGAATTCTGAACTTTGAAGCTAGTGTTTACTGAGTGAGTGTTTTATTAATTGGCCCCAGTACACTTATAAATTACACATGTTCAAGTATGTACAGCCTTCCTGCAGGTTACTTATGTATTTGAGGATCCAGGACATACTGGAAAACGAGAGAAATCTCAATGTATCCATCCTGGTAAAATATTTTATAAATAAATATATATTGGTTTTGTATATATGTTTTATTTAAAGACCAGTGTTATCTTTAAAGGACAACTGTAATCAATTTTTTTCTTCTCGTTTTTTCAAAACTTTATTACATTTAATAAAACGTAATTACTTTTTTAAAATTAATTACGCATAATGATTTTTTGAGAAAATCACACTTTTTTTTTTATCTGGCTGAGCAGGCACGTTGAATCAGACCGATCGGTGCTCAAACTAACGCCAACATTTTTAGTCAGGAAGTAATAAACTTGTCTTAAGCAAGTAATTCTGGATCTGAAAACAATGTAAAAAAAAATGTCAACTGGGAATTTAAACAAGATACAAAGAATTCCATATATCTAACAATCCTAAAATATAAAATTATTTTGTGTAATCTCTGGGTAAAGACCAACATGGCAATGATTGCACATATAGGATAAGTAAGCACAAATTAACTGTATTGGAATTGTTGCTATTAAAATAATTGTCATAATGAATTATTTAAAAAAATCATGTTTTTAAAATAAAAATAAACACATTAAAATATCCACATTCAATAAAAACTACCTCAATCCCAAGCCAGTAATATAACTATAATAACAGTCAAAACAGTGTGAAAGTCAATCTCTTCCTGATCACAATCTAACACGAGACACTCAAATGCACCAGAAGATGAACTGTGGTCTAATAAATAAACATTCAGGATGTTTTACTGAAATTACAAAATGGCAGGGGGTGGGGGGGTCCTTTATAAAATGTATTAAAGTGCATATTTGATAAATGTTATAAGAATTCCAAATGCAAAAGTATGAATGCAATTGACAAATGTTACAAGTTTAAGCTAGTTTCACAAACTACAATAGATAGCCAAGAGTAGGGTTTCCGGTTTTCCCAGTACATTGAATATGTGAATATAAGTAATTTCAAATAGAGTAATTGCCTAGTAAGATAGCAAAACATGTTATGTTTAGCAAACTCAGAGTAACTTTGCAGCTGACCCACTTGGTATGTAGAAAAATTAGATATTGCTTAGCCTAATGGCTTGCTGCGTGTTTTTTTTTTTTACTGCATTATCTGCCCTGTGGTTATACAAGTGGTATTAATGCATTCCTATTAATGGTGAATCCACTGGAAGAAATATTACCTATTAGGCAAATCTTCACTGTAGAATAAATTTAAATAAATGATTCCTGGATCGAGACACAAAAGTAAATCTAAGAGTTAGTTAAACTGTCCCTAATTGTTGGCACATGTAAATCATGATTCTCCGGGCATCAGCCCACCACATATAGTTTACTGTAGCATGACTCCATTCCTGAATTAATTTAAGACCCCGACACTCGGCAGAGTCTATTGGAGCTATTTTACTCAGTTATTGTGCTATTTATAATACTACAATTGAAGTATTGGTTACTGAGATAGTTGTACCATTTGACAAGGGGTCATTAAGCTAAGGCCATGTATATAATGTGGGTTCCTGTTATCAATGTAATCAGTGGTCTTTTTTCTTGTACTCAGTTCCTGGAATTTAATTTAAAATACTAAACAACCAATTATTGAGTAAACCTATTCGGGAAAACAATGACTGGATCTAGAAACCACTGAATGGCAAATAAACGTAGTCTTTAATATATAAAATGAATGTATTCACATATAGAACACACATGTTGAAAGGATTACTTGTGCTAGTTGAGTAAAGAAGAAGTAATATAATGATTATCATAGTATCTTGGAATACATATTTTATTGGCCTAGCAGTTTTTAAGAATGACAAGTTTTCGGTCGCTCTTCCCTTTTGCCAAATCTAAAGCATTTCCAATTTAGAATGATAATCTCCTAAAAATATGTTCTAAAGCTATGATAAGCCAAGAAAATAAAAATATAGTACAATATGCTAGAATACTCTCTTGATATTTATTTATTAAATATTTTACCAGGAAGGATCCATTGAGATTTCTATTGTTTTCAAGTATGTCCTGAGCCCACAAACATGCCTTTGTTAAAAAAAGGGTACAATATAATATAAAAATGCAAAATAATATTAAAATACACATTAAAAAAAAAAAAAAATCTAACACAGAACAGGTAAGAAGTATAATCATTCATGATTACAGGTGCATTCTGTATTGAGATATAATGACTTATATCTCAATAAGATCCATTAAAGGGTTTTAAACTGGATATAGTTATATATAAAATGTATTTTGTTAGGTCTACTTTCAGTAGCATGTGATAGAATTATATTTTTTCACCCATATAATCATAAACATGGGCTGAAGATAGCTATATCTAAAATAGATCATGCCTGGTATCCAATGTAGTCAACCACTTATATAGATTTAGTTGAATTTCATTATTATTATGATCTCCTGCTTTCATTTAGGATAAATGGAATTAAAATTTGCAACAAAAACAAAACATTAAAACCACTTTATTTCACACTTAGTTGAGTCAAGTTCCAAGTTTATTTATTAAAATGTTCTTAATTTGGGTGTGAAGACATATGTAATCATGGTTTTTCCATTGGACCAGTCATGGTGGTCTTTGACCAACACATCCTCCATTTCAGGTCAACTAAACGCTGGACTACACAAAATGGCCGCCAAGCCCAAAATGGCCGCCATGCCCATCGTGTGGGTCCACCTTGAGCACGGCGCCACGCCATAAGCCTAGCACCACGTGATGTCAATGGTTGGCCAGCTCCACGGACGGCCGACCAATGACATTGAACATGGCGTTATACGTTGGGTGTTAGTGTGTATGGCGAGCTGCGCCTCACAAAACAAGATGGCAGCCAAGAATGCCAGAGCAGCCTCGTTCTGGGGATGACATGACTAATGGGAGCGTCGGGCGGGCGGCCAGCTGCCTTCCTACCCCACCCCCCACGCTGCTCGCTCTACCCGCTGCGGACGCTCTCAGCTGCACGTATACCAAGTCTGAGCACATGGTTTTAACCCTCCGCCGACCGGAACTATTTTCTCCGCTGGGATGACCGCGGCGGCTAACGCTAGCAGGGAAACTCGAGACTTTTTCCCACCTCAACTTAGCCATATAGGCGAACGCTGAGTATTTACACCCCCGGTAACAAGGCTAAAACACAGAGCGGGCGCAGGGATTATTTTATCCGGTTACGTGCCGCCCAATGGCCGACGCGCTCAGGGTTCCATAGCGGCGGATGGATACGCGGACGTGAACCTGACGAGACGCCGTCACTCGGATTCCCCCCTGAAGTCAAGGGGAAAAAAAAAATATCTCTTTAACTTACAGTAGAGGCGGTTGGTGGGAGTGGCCGGGGAGAAGTTGAGTGACGAGGCGGCGCGCCAATCGCGGCCGAGCTTCTCCGCCTTCTGCAGCGGAGCAGCCAATGGCTAGCTAGCGAGGGGGCGTGGCTCGGAGGGTTCGCGTGCACTGTTTGTCCGCCTGGGTTGCGTTGTGTAGTGTCTTCCAGCGAGCTCGGTGCGGGCGGAGAGCGGCTACCGTGTGAGGGGCCCGGGAGAGATAACACACTGATAATACACTGATAATACACTGCATGAGCCGAGTGCACGGAGCACGGCATCCGCCATCACAACGGTCAGTCACGGGGAGTCATTATAATATAATATAAAATATCCATTATTATATACATTATATTATATCTATTATATATTATGTTATATTACATTATTATTATTTATTATATCCATTATTATTATATCCATTATTATTATTATGTTATTATATACATTATATCTATTATTTATTATATCCATTATTATATTATGTTATTATATACATTATATTATATCTATTATTATTATTATTATTATTATTATTATTATATCCATTATTTTTATTGGGGGGGGAGTCTCTGGCTGTCTGTGTATAATATGGTTTGTCACACTGGGAGCATGGCCTGTCACTGTTATTATTTCTATTATTATTATTATTATTATTAGGGGGCTCTGTCTGAGGGACACACACACACAAACAAACACACACACACACTGTGTTCTGTGTATAATATTGTTTGTCAGACTGGAAGTCCTGTGTGAGCTCTGCCAGAACTGATAATATCTCTATCAAATCTAATAAACACAGTGCTGGGTGTGGAGGAATTCTTCTTCCTTTCTTTCTTTATAGTTAGATAATCACTTTAACTTATAAATCCAAGGGACACTATGCATTCATTATTACACTGCATTAACACGATCAGAATACAGGGCTATGTGCTTAATCAAAGTAATAAAATATATATATATATATATATACACACACACACACACACACACACACACACACACACACACACACACAGGTTTTTAATATAGTGAATGTTTAACAGCCATTCATAAAACTTCATTACTATATATGTGTGTGCGCGTATTTATTTATAAAGCGCCAACAGATTCCTCTGCGCTGTACAATATTCGCAGGTAGAGAGAGCCCTGCCCGTAAGTTGAGATCCTGTCTTTTAAGCTCTTTTATACAAAGTGCTTATCTAGCCCGTGAGAATGTATATTATCTCCCATGCAATATTCAGATGTGTGACCTCTTGTCACCCTCCAGTTTTGGGGTCTTCTTTGGTAAAGATGGCGTGCGAAGCAGTGGTGAAGAAGGAAGTCCAAATGTATAAAGACCAAACGTGTTATGTTTGGGACTTAATCTATAAAGGATGCAACCAAAAGTAATAATTATCTCTGTATGACTTGTGTGTCAAGAGAAACTCCGTTAAGTGCATCGGATGCATTGCAATTTATGTTAGCGTTTCGTTCAATAACCTTTTTGTTAAAACTTCTGATTTTGTTTTTTTTGTGTCAGGTGCAAAGATGATGGTGCTTACGCCCCAAGATAACTTGCACGTTCTAGTGGGCCAGAGGTTTACTAGCGTGTTGGGCACGGACGTGGTGTTGGATACCGACAAGGTCTCAGAGTGGCCATGGAAAAGTGGAATTGTCCGAGCTGCTTCTCATAAAGATATTTTCCACCATGACTTGAAGGTAAGGATCTCTGCCACTATAGCCTTTATTTGGTTTAAGGACATGTTGGTGTTGGGCTTCATGATGGTAAGGTGTAGTGATGATGACCAGCAAGTAACTTTACCACAATCAAACGTTTGCTTTGTTCTGTAGTTTAACTCTTCTATGGTCCAATTAATACAACCTTATAATCCTTTTTACTACGTGCTGGCTTGCTTGCTTGTCTTGGCTGTTAACTCTTGAGATATCTGCATGCATCTGTTTAATCTTTCGGGGGGTAGTCTTTGTGATTTCTCATTTGACATGTATATGGCTCCTTGAGGTAAGCATCACATGTTGCTCAGAAGCATGGTTTGCATATACAGGTATGAGTCCGTCATCAGCAACTACTATTTACAATGATCCCATAGTTGACATCTTAGCTCCTCCCTCTTTGTGACGGCATGTTTTGGTTTGAGAGCTGCCAGTGTCACTAGTGCTCATGGCTGCATCTCATTCATAAAACTGGAGTGGGTGTGGCTGCAGGATATTGACCAATGAATGCAGATGTCGAAGACCTTTTCTGCTGCACTTCGTTTATATAATATATTCCATATAATGCTTGGCTACTGGAGTTGGTGTATGCATTTAACCCTTGTTATGAACCATGTTTAACATGAGTGGTACTACGCATTTGTAAGGATGGATGTTGGGTTGTTGCTTTCAGTATCTTTTTTTTTAATTTTTTTATTTTTTTTTAGCTGTTTAGTAAACTGATCTTCCTTGCTGACATTTTTGTTTTCCACTGAGGATATGCTTCTGTTTTGACTTAGTATCACAATGTCTTAATGGGGTTAGTGGACATTTTAAACATTCAATTTTCTGTGTAATTGTGTTAAATGTATAAATATTTTTATTGCAATTGGTTACTCAATGTTTGTTTTGTTTTTTTTCTTCCTGTGCTTCTCTGAGATGGATATGAGCCTCCATGCCTCTTCCACCAGCAGTTCAAAACTAGTTATTTATTTTTTTAGGATTGGTATGGAGTAGTCTAATTTCAGCCTGAGATTTTTATTTGACATGCGTTACGGTGAATGGCTGGCAGGACTCAAATGGCTGTCACTGTTTGTGTTGGCAATCTGGATATGAACTGTCTAAACAGGCTTAGAGACTAACCCCATCTTGTTTGAACTGGAAGCAACCATTTGAGTTCTTGAATTGGTTGATTACAAAACCTGTTCATCTGCCACAATATGGGTTAAAATATTTTTGTGGCAGTCGGCCCAATATATAGTTTGAAGTTGTTGATACCTTATGGTTTTTGTAGCACTACAAATTAATGGCCATCTCTCGGAGTCTGAAAAACTATGCACTTCCTGTATAAATAAATGTATAAAGTTCAGTAAGACTAGTTTAATGGCTTTTTACATCCTGTCCTGGTTTCCCCTTGCTAATGTCAACAATGGAGGAACCATAAACCATTTGTTTGGTCAAGATACCTAATGGCAACATCTTAGGTTCAATATCTAATGGGGTGGTCTTGCATTAGTTTTGTGGCTATGGAAGTGAATCATGGTACACCACAAAGACATGATCACATTATCTGACATGAAGTCCACATGTTTAAAGTTTATATTTCAGAATTTGAGGTACTTCTTGGCTCGCTACACAATCAGCACTTTTCTGGTGCCACTTAGAATTGACATGCTGAAGCACTACCAAAGAAATTATTTTAACCGTTTGCTTTTTTGAGAATTGTCCTCGATAGGTAGGATTTTACACCATTTGGCTAGAGTTGCAGCTCTCCAACTAGGATGTTTGGTGAAAATAGCTTTTTCTGTGAATTGTTTTGAAGTGTGTACAGATAAACATTACATTTTGAATAACAAATTAAGCATACCAATGCTCCTTAGATGGCTTATCTAACAGGACTGATTTGACCGTGCCATTTTATTGTTTTTCCTTGTAATAGTAAACAGATATTAGAACACTATTAGGCCAAACTTTAATATTACAGCATTATTTTTATTTTTCAATACAACCAATAATTCTCTAGGTGTGTTGATTACTGCCACCTCTTCCACAAGCAGCTTTGCTTGTAAAGGTCGCACTTTGCTAGAAGGAATCGGTTAAGAAAAATCAGGCATGCACTGCCTATCAAGCCAGTGGCCCTTTTACTTTTCTATAATTGCATATATTTTTGCTAGAAACTAGTGCTTAACTGAATATTCAGCTGGGTGAGTCAATGCATGTGTATTTATATTAAAAAGAAAACCATTTCTTGACTTTAGAGTAGTGCTGTGTGTTTTTGTTAATTTTTTTTTTCCCTCAGTCTCTTTGATAATTAAATGTGTATAGGTTTGTCCTCCGTTCCCTTTTTGCTGTTTTTTTGTTTTTTTTGTTTTTTTTTTTGTTTTGTCTTTTGGGATGAGTGGGGACACTTGGTTGTTTTAGAAGTAGTCCCATTGTTTTCCTGTAAATGTTCTGTTTCGAGCTGTGTGCCGAGCCGTTCCCTTACTCCCCCATCCCCCAGCTGCCTTTGGAACTTGCTGTTTTTCTCTCTCCTTCTGTGTACGTGCAGTCTGCATTGACAAAGAGGGGGGAGGGTGCTTATCTAGTGTAAACTTAGAGCTGGGGAATTTGTAGTGACTTCTTCTGTACATATAAGGAGAGGGGGTTGTCTGTCCTTTGTAGGCCATGTGAGTCATGCTATGGATGGGTGTGACTTTAAAGAACACGTGAATGATTCACTTCATAACAGCATATTTACATTTTTTGATTGTTTTGTATAATCCTACGCTTTGTCATTTTTAAAGATGTTTTGCAGATCTGTGGTTTAAAAATGTAAATGTGTGTGTGAATTTTCAATCTGGAAAATGCAGCTTTAGGTTTACGGTTTTGTGAATGTTTAAAAGCAGCTGCAGGCGGATGCATTATTTTTTTTTTTTTTTTTTATATATATAGATTGCAGGGGAAGTATGGCTTTGTGACCACATACATGATGACTCTGTCCTTGCAACCTATAGCACAATGATTTCAGTCACCAAATAATGGTGTGTATCCGCTTGCCAGAGGTAATTCTGCAGTTTGAATAGATCATGCTGCTTTTTTATCCACTTAGAGAAACTTAAATCCCAGAGCAATGTAAAGTGTGAGTCACAGTTGGCAGCCCTCCCTCCCCATGTTTGTGGTGGTTGGTTTTCCACATCCCTTAATACATCTGTAGTGTGACCCTAGCTTTAATAGCCTTTAGGCTTGGTGACTGCGGTGTATTGGGGTCTGTAGCTATTTGTATTTTGGCTGACAGTCTCTGGTGTCTGGTGTAAAGTGGCAGTTCATCATGATGGCATATCCAACATATGACTACATCACTTTCAGGGTAGGTAATGCACCGACCTTTGTTTTCTGTATTACACAAGAAAATATGAGCATATAAGACCTTTCTGTAGAAATGTTTGGGTTAACACCATAATTGTTGCTGAGCAGTTGGTTGCTAGAAAGGTGCATTTGTTGAACTCTTCCTTATATACACATTGTTTTGAGGGAGAATCAATTAGTCTGGCATAGAACCCTCTTTTGATTCATTTTTAAACTGATTGAGTCTACAAACCAATTGAAAGTAGGTTTCAATTGTGGATGAATCGATTCATCAGGCAAATCGATTTTGTTTAAGGAAGAGCTCCACACATGTATGTCTTGCATTTTGTCTAGGAAGTGGCTCGATGCTTTACGTTTTAGCTTTGGGTTCATATCATTGACACACTTGTGTCCAGTACGTTATTTTGTTGTTGTTGTTTTTGAATAATCCTATCATAGCAAGGCAAGTGTCTGTCATTTTCATATCAACAGCTGGTTTTATTTATTTTTGCTTAAAACCAAATGTTTTGGTGATTTGAAAATATCCTTTGCTGGACATACTTCTGTAACTTTCAATATGTATGGATTTCTCCTGATGACACATTTTCTTTAAGCAAGATATATGTGGTGCAAAAGTCAGAGCAAAAATGAAATGTTTTTATTTGTGTAGTGAGGTATCTTTCTTGTTAAGTAATAATGATTCATTGAAACATTGCACATTTACAGTGATATACTCCTCCCTCCAACCAATGCCTTTCTTTCATTTTCAGCTTTGTTCTGATTGGGTGGCTGAGCCAGAGGAGCTGACGTTAGACTTGTCATACAGGTCTATTGATAAACAGCCAGCATGTGTATAGATACATACACAACACTATTTTATGCTAATGTAGGGGTTAACATTTAGTAGTTGAAAACCCATTTCCAGCCATTTCACACATCTTATCACAGGAACAGCTGTGATTTTTTTTTTTTTTTTTTTCTCTGTCCTTTTTGAGTGTAAGTTGAATGTCACTGTATTTCCCCACGGTCCCCACCTGTATAATTGCACGCTATAAAATGAGTGTTGTAAAAAGCCTTTGTACTTCTGAAGGAAAGTATCTAAGAGGATTAATCTGGCAGCTGTGTGCTTGAGTAGATTGGGGTGTGGAGAAGCAATTGTGTTGTGGAAATAACACACTGGACAAATGAACACTGAGAAATTGTTTATTTTAAAGGGATACTTTCATACATGCGAAGGTAGAGCTGTGTAATGTCTGCAAATATCTTTATTCTTCATCTAGCTCTGGCAAACTCCTAACACTTGATGTAAAATGGTTTCCCAAAGCATTTTGACAGACGCAAACCACGTGATTTGCTTAAGTGAAGATTGATCCTATGTGCAGCAGGACAGACCTTAAACAGGGAATAATACATCAATTCCTATTGTCCACCTAGAAAGACCAGCTTTAATGTGTAGGGTTTGCTCTATAATCATATCGGAGCATATTAAACCTCCCCTGATAATTTAAAATGAAAGTATGCTCATATTAAAGGTAACATTGTAGGCTTGGTGTTTACTCATTTTTCTGTAGGTGTGCTGTTTTCCCTGTTTAAAAGAACTGCATGTTGACTCCTAGATTTAAAAAAACAAAACAAAGAGCGAGCACCTGTACTGTGAAAAATGATCATATTGAATCTCCCCAATATCTAGTGTTATAAAACTAGTTGTAGTTAATGGTGTATGTACACATACAGGAACAAAACCTGAAACTGGTTATATTAAACTTACACTGTAAATACTTAGTTTCAGGTTTTGTTCCTGTATGTGTACATACACCATTAACTACAACTAGTTTTAACTACAACTAGTTTTATAGCACTAGATATTGGGTCTCTATGTATTCAATATTATAATTTTTCCTTTAAATATGGTTTATAACTGGTGGTTATGCCAGTCCTAATGCTGGACTTAACTTGTTCAGAGACCCACTGGTGTACATCTTGTTTTGGAGTGTTATATCAGTATTTTATACGTGCCTAAAATTTAAAGTGCCCTTAAAATATCCATGTGGCAGCTGGATATTGCTTCGCTTATTATGTGAAGTATATGCTAAAGGAGTACTCTAAGAATCCTAAATCTACTGCCTGCTTCAGTAATCATGGGATCAGACATCTCCTTGATTACCTCAAAGTGTTTTTGGACAATGTGAAATTTATCTTGGTCCATCTGAGCACCCATGTTGAATTCTGGTCTTCACGGTGTGGCTAAAGTGGACATTCGGACTCTGCTTTAGTAATATCCTTCTAGTACATCTCTTTTTGGATAATTTAATTTAGTTCTGTCAGCTCATTCTCTGGCTGAGCGCATCCGCTACCACTCTCAGCCTGTGAAAGAACTAACATGAAGGACCACAAGTCACCCAGAACACTTCATCACAATAAAGTGGTCTGTTCGCATTGCCCCTTTTAATTTTTAATCTTGATTTGTGGAAATGGCAATGTGTACTTTGCATGGTTAAATACACCTAGGCTGTATTCCTGGCTGCTACTAGAGGTGCTTCCTCCTCCTGATAGCAGTGTTAGATAAGAGTAGTGCATTATTTGTCCACTCATGCCTAATTGCAATTTATTGCGAGTGATGTAAGCTTGGATGCTGACCTCGGAGATTGCAGCGGAGGGGTCTTGGCCCTGGAAAATAGGCTTTTATTTTACATCATTTAAAGATGTATTCACAGCACCATAACCACTGCATATCAATGTAGTGGGTTTTGTGCATAGGCATTGTCCTTGTGACAAATTTAAGCATTGTGTTTCTGGCAGTATACCGCTTTCTGGTGAAGGCTTTCATGTTATGATGCTCATAGAGCAGCATTCAGTTGGTACAGAATAGCAAGGTAGAGCCCCTATTCTTCTTTGAGTAAAATTTGTATTGGCAGAGAACCTCCCCACTGATCTCACTGTCCAGAGATGCTGCAGCAAGACCCATTGGTTGCTCTTTTATTTTTCAGATTTGTGTGGAGTATGAAGATGAACCTTGGGAGAAGAGACAATGGATCAAGCTTTACGGAAACAAGGTTCAGATGTTTTTGGTTGAGCACAGCTTGGGAGTGGCTGATCGGATATGCCCCAGTAACCCACGTATATCTGTTCAGTGCCCTGCAATGGTAAATATACCTTCTTTTATTTATCTCTACTTTAACTATTACTTTTCTTTTTTCTGGCGTGTATGAATGTTGTCTATAGCTGTAAGAGTTGATTGTTGCGTAATCATTCCCCGTGGTACATTGGCTGTTCTGTTAGTCATCCAATTGAACATTCAGAAGCTTTCTGTTGTGCTTTGTACATCTCAGAATAACACTCACTAGGGCACAGATCCTTATTTTTTATTTTGTTTGTTTTCATGCATGCTTCCACAGCCCTATTTAATGTGATTTTTTTTTTAATTTTACTAGATTTGTCTACATTTGAACAATTGTTGCACCAGCTACATAGTTGGAACTTTCATCTATCTGTATGCTTGGGAAGGTTAGACTATGGCAGGCATATGTGTACTTTTCTAGAGGGGGGGGGGGGAGAAACTATTAGTTAGTCCTACTTCTCGGCTAGACGGTTACTGTTGTGTGTTTGTGGAAAGTCATCGGCTAGTTGATGATAATTCTGGTTGAGAACCTTTTGACTGCAGTATAAAGTGCATCTTGTAATTGGTTGGCCGTATATAAATGCCAATAAAAAAATATCCATTCACTGCGAATGTTTCATGTCCTGGACCATGGTAACTCATAGCTACCATTGTTACATATAGTTTAGTACTTGTTAGATAAAGTTATTAATAATGTGGCTGTTAGAATTTTGGTTGGCAAATATTTACTTGTTTTATAACAAATGACTAGCCTGCTCCATTCCTCCTCCCAGCTGTAAATTTCATTTTAAGTAACTCTTTTATCTCTTTCTTAGCCTCAAATAATCGGCCATCCCTGCAACAAGGCCCTTTAATTTTACTTGGCTCTGCCTACCCTGGTTCCTTCTAACTATATAGCATGCTCTTCACCTCCCTATTACCTTCACATGTTATCAGCTGCTGCAGTTATACTATTAACTCTCACTGCTACCTCTTGTCTCATCTCCCTTTTTAACCTTTAGATTGTAAGCTCACGGGCAGGGTACTCTACCTGTTGTATCGGTCTGTTCTTATTGTGTTGTCTTTCCCAATTGTACAGCACTGCGGAATATGTTGGCGCTTTATAAATGCTAGTAATAAAATTACAAAATTCCTTTGAATATTCTGACCAACATTTTCTCCTTGCATCGTCTGTGTATTGAACCACTATCCTCCCTAATAACTGGGTCAGAGAAGGGCAGTAAATAACACTCTGCAATTAAGCAAAGAATTGGTTGCCGAGAGTATTTTGTTAATGTTTGTATTTGTCTTTTTATTTTTTAAACAGACCTATAAAGGTTTGGTGAGCAAAATCCCTATGGATTCAATCACATGTCTACAGTTCTTGGGGGATAAAACCAAGCTGTTCCTGGATAATAACCTTGTGATGCCTGTGCGGGTAAGAGTCTTTATCTTTGATTGCAAGTGTGTAGTATTTTATGTGGTGAATGCAGCACTTAATTTAAACTTTTTTGTTGTCTGATGACCATCTAGAGCTGAGGTGGCTGACTATGGGTCATCAAAGAAATCCAGATGGCTGCCTACTAACTAGCCCTGTTGATGAATGAGGACAGCTTACATCAGAGCTCAAAGTTTCCATTTGCCACTAGCAATTGATGAGCGTGCAATGGACCCTCCAGACTTACTCTCTAGGGCAGGGGTCAGCCACCTATGGCATTCGGGGTTACCATAGCCAAACAGGGACGGCCTATCAGGAGTCCTTAGTGCATACCGAGTGGTGATTGCAGATGGTGAAGGGCAATCCACAATTTACGCATTGCAGCATTTGGAGAAAGTGATCTCCGATCACTATATCCCAGCACTGCTGAACGAAACACCCCACTGGAGTAGAGCAACCCGCAGCAGCTATTGCAACTCCTGCCCTTCACCTGTTCCTGGCTAGCCTCATCCCTACTGAGACCCAGGGAAGTCACCCTCACTAAAAGATAAACATAGAGCTGCAGAATAATCCTCCCACTTATGCAAATAATAGAACAATTCCACGAGCAGCCCCCATACACACCCCATGTTCATATGTATCATACACAATGACACAAACTACTCACGAACGTATTCTATACAATATAATAGGCACATATACAATGCTACAAAGCAAGTGCAGCACCCACAAATAACATGGGCAGAATACGGCAACATAAACTCAATTTAAAAAAAATAAATAGTGCCGGCAAGCAAACAGACTTTAAAATCTCCATGTGGCACAGTACTACTAATAGGTTGTCTACCCCTGCTCTAGATCTAGTCACGTTTAAGGCCTGGCTGTCTACATTTTAAGCCCTGGCTGACATCAAGTATCATTAATGTTGGTTGTAGCTTGAGAGGATAACTTGGTTTGAAAAACAAAAGGGGTCTTGTTAAGAATTGTTATTTTTTCTGCTGTTCTCTAATAGGATCGAGAGACTCTTAAGGAGTTCATGCAGGCAAATCGGAGTTTTCATAAAGAATTTCAGGAACTGATAAGAAAGAATGTGGATGAAAGCCGTATATTGCAAGGTAATCCCTATTCACCATGAATATGTTTTTGTATTTATAGATAGTTTAGGTTATATGACCATTTTTATATGTTGCATTTGACTTGAACAAAATTTATATTTTTTAAATAAACTAAATAATCCACTGTCTTCTGAGAGGATAACTTGCCAGTAAAATTTAGAAAGCGTGCAATATTAATGATGAATAATGCTAAATGAATCTCCATAAGTAATCAAGCAAATAAGACAACAATTTAAATTATTAAAGAGAGAGCTAGAGCTTGCACGAGTTCCAAATATTGCACTCTGTGTGGTCTCAAGACCAAGAGGTTGCATTACTTTGGATTTACTTGATGTGTGATTTTAAACCTCAGATGAATGTCATAGAGATAGATACTTATTGCAACAGGCAAGAAGAGTATTTTAGAAGGTTGAATTTACATATTCAGACTTTAAAAAATAATTAACAGTGGAAGTAAAACTTTATAATTTATTTTCTTTTAACTGCTTGGTCATAGTTAACCATTTACATTTTGGAGATTTGATCAAAATACCACAAAGGAGAAAGCTGCATGACACACACTTTCCACACAGTGTAGTTCATAGTTCTCTCAATTCTATTTTATGCTTAATACCATTTTAGTGTGCTGACAGGAAGTTATTTTTGGTAATAATTATTTTATTTTTGCCTTAAAGGTGCAAAAAATTTAGTTGGAACATCCATAAAGGTTTATAGCATGGATCCCAGTATGCAGTGGTTTTCAGCAGTTGTACTTAATGCCAGCACTAATACACGGACCTTGGAGATTAAATGCGAACAGGTAAATATTTTGTGTTCTGTTTGTTTTTGATTTTCATTTTGTTTAATTGTAATGTTTTGTGCCACTTTACCTACCTATTGGTTCATCTGTAAGTCTGAAGACATGGATCACCAAGTCTTAATTTAAGAAGGCAAAGTGTCAGTTGTTTTATGACCCGATGTTGAGCCAATTATTTTAAATATATTTTGTCTTTTGAATTTATAATATGCAATCCTTTTTATTCCCTTTTTAGCTTCCATCTTTAAGAATTATTGACCCAGCACTGATACATGTTGAACTGGTACATAACTACTGTGATAAAAATGGTACGGTATGGGTTTATAGGCTAGTTGTAGGGGATTGTTTTGTTTTGTTATAGCTCAACTATTTTTATTTTTCAGTAAAGGCCAGAAAAACTCAACCTCAAAAAAGAGTTCTCCCAGAAAATACAGAACCAGTAGCTAAGCAAGTTCGAGTGGAAGAGGTATGGTTCAACCCAAAAAATTGCAGTGTTTTGCCTTGTGGTTCTTTAGGTTTTCAAATTTAATCTATTGCAATTTTCTTTTAATTGTCAAAATGTTAAAAACAAACAAAAAACATAATGTGTGTTTGTTATACTTGGGAGATGTGATATTATTGGAGAGCTTCATTGGATTTCAGAGGTTGTTTGCGAATACTGCAGTAGTTTGTGGTGTTGGGGCAGATGTCACTTTTTTTGTTTTATTGGATCACTATTGTAACTTTGTAATTTTATAAATATTTTTTGATATCACAAAGGATAATTCTCAGAAAACAAACTTCCTCACCTATTCAAGAGATGATGGGAAAACACTAGTGGTGGTTGACAATCCAAAATCGTCAGGGACTCTAGCAAGCTTAATACGAAAACCAAATACGTCAATAGTAAGTAAAACAGTGGTTTGTTTGCTTGAATTTTTTTTTTTTTTTTATATCCTTCTGGAGATAGCACTGTGTACATAGTCAAATAAGAGACATATTTGTTAATGTATAATTCGTTATTTCATTTAGTGCTTGTTTAAAAAAAGTGCCTCTTCCTCTTCTATAAAACTACTTGCTGTAGAAAGGTAAAAAAATCAATATATCCAACTTCTGCCTGTAAGCTTTGCAATGAGTGTGTGGCATCTATAATGCATAGGGTATAAGTTTATATTTATTTAGGCATAGTGTTTAATCTGTTGGCTACTCTGGTAGTGTTTTCTAAATTAATTATTGGTGTATATACTGAAAGTGGACAATTCTATTCCATAGTTTTGGAAAGAGCCAAGGGAATGCTTTGATGTAAATGTTTGATACAAAGTCAATTTAACTGATTTGTGCTAATAATCTATAAACACTTTGTTGGGTTACACTAAGCACACTAATTACCCTGAAACATAGGACGCCAAATAGTAAATAAGGTAAAGATAAAATCCTCAAAGGCTGTTTCCACATTATCCAGGTTTGCGCCAATATTACCCAATGTTTGTGTGCTATACTCTTATGGAATATCTTCTCTTCAATATGCTTCCCTTAGTGTCTGGCATCTGCAGCATTGCCTTCTCTTTTTATTTATTTATTTATTTTTGGCTTAAATTTATTTTTTTTCTAATAATTACATTTATTTTATTGCAGATGGGGTCCAGTCTTTTCCCCAAGCAGTCAGTCCCAATGGGTCTTGGAGAAGCATTACTGGGCTGCACTGCCACCACTCCTACCAGCCATAACGTGACATCACGGGCTACTCCTCCCCAGGCAAATTCCCCGCCAAGCTTTGGTGCTGAAACTCCTCAAGTGTAAGTCTTTCATTAGTCTTGCATTCAGTGTGGTATAAAATGATTGTGTGCCGGATAGTTGATAAGTAATGTTCCAAGGGCCTCTGCACATGTACAGCTTGTAGATGAAATGTGGCTTTCATGAACCGGTTATAGTAATGGCCACATATTTTGATGCTGGCTCTAGAACATGTTGGGACAATTTTACCCTTTTTAGGATAAAGGCAGTAAGTGCACCACAATATGTAGAATTTAAGTTGGGGCACAAATGGAATAAATTACCATGTTTTAATCGATATAGATAAGTTACTAACTGTTTTCCCCTCTTCATTCTGATTGCAGTAAATGTAATCAAAATTTACCCGGAGAGAATTTGATGCTTAATGGTGTGAATGTGAAGAAAGAAGAGAATAACTTGTTTCTAAGTGCTGCATTGTCCCAAGCCAATAAGAGTGGCCTTGGTGTGGCAGGTTCAAGTTTTCAGTCATGGTCTGGCCAGAAAAAAGGCATAAAATCTGAGAATCTGTTTGAAGCCTTTACCAAGCCTTCCACTGTGTTCCCAAAGGGCTTTGAGTTTTCAGTGGAGCGGTTCTCTGGGAAAAATACACTTTCTGTATCAGATTCATCAGGAAATGGTACATCGGACACTTCAAATGTCTTAAGTATGGAGCCACCTTCAAATGATGTGAAACCGGTTGTTGTTAAAGGGCTAAACCACAAGGAACTTATCAGTGCAAAGCCAAAAGTGGAAGGGGCATATGCAAGGAGCCCAACGAAAATTGACGGTGGAGGTATGTATACATCTGCTAACTACCAGGGTATTGAACTTCCTGATAGGGTTTTGGAACTCTTTATGCCACGGGTATATGTAGAAATATTACTTGTGACTTGAATTATTTTATTGTTGGTTAATGGCAGCTAATTATATATACCAATGTTAAATGTTTGGACCGCACAATATCTACTTAAAAATGGATGCTTAATGGTCCATATTCTATTGAGAGCTCTTCCAGTTGATTATGATTTATCTACAAGAGCCATGCCTGACTCATGCAACAGAATTTACACTTGGTAGTACAGAGCTATAAAATAAAGGGTATACACAGAATAAATATCTTAAGAAGGTCTTGGCCTCTTTGAATCTGTCTCTTGTGTAGCTAATCCTGTAATTTTGATTTCTTCTCTAGTAACGTATCCCAGATCTGTGTTGTTGGACCCACAGAAGTTGAGAAGATTACAGCAAAGTGGTGATTGTTTTGTTCAGGATGGTTCCTGCCATAACATTGCACCGCATCTTCACAAATGCAGAGAATGTCGCTTAGACCGATTTGGGCGAAGCAAGGAGCAGCGGGATGCAGCCGTGTTCTGTAGATTCTTCCACTTCCGAAGGTGAGCCAGCCAGTCCAGTAAAAAATCTGGATAACTCTGTTCATTATTATGTAGAGTTGTGTGTATGCTATTGGATTTTTAGACTGTGCCACAATAACTGGTGTGTTTTCTTTCAAGGCTGCACTTCAACAAACATGGAATACTACGAGAAGGAGGTTTCTTAACACCTAATAAATTTGATATTGATGCAATAAACCTGTGGCTTCCGATACCGAGCAATGTGGTGGGTCTTGACTTGGATACTGCAAAATACATCCTTGCAAACATTGGGGACCACTTTTGCAAACTTGTAATCTCTGAGAAAGAAGTCATGGCAACTATAGACCCACAAAGTAAGATGTTGCTTATGCTGTGTTTGCATTCCATTTTGTCCAAAATGTTTTCAGTTCTATTCTGTATTGTACTAAGTCTTGGGTCCTTGGGCTGTGCAATATACATTAGACAAAGCTCATGAATTCACATGGGTTACTAGTTACTGGTTAGTATTTATAGAGTGAAAGTAGATCATACCACTTGATTTACAATTCTCTTAATCTTCAAACTTTCCTTTGTTTAGTTTTTATCTACTTTCGCATTCTAACGGCTTGATTTTCTTATTGTGAAAACCTTATAGAATCTTTGTTTTTATTTTTAGAACAGGTAGCTTGGAAGAGAGCAGTGCGTGGGGTACGTGAAATGTGTGATGTTTGTGACACAACCATTTTCAACATCCATTGGGTTTGTCCCAAGTGTGGCTTTGGAGTCTGTGTAGATTGTTTCCGAATGAAATGCAAGAGTCAACTTACAGGTAACGAATCCAGAACACTCGCCTAACACTATTTCATAGGTGAAAGACTTGGAAATTGGCAAGGGGCATGCTTTCCTTATTTTTTATTTTTTTATTTATTTATTTTTAGACGAGGATGGCAGTGAAGGTTTCTCATGGTTGAAATGTGTTAAAGGCCAGTTACATGAACCGGACAATTTAATGCCAACGCAGATTATTCCAGGCAAAGGTAATTTGTCTTTACACCTTATGATTTGTGTTTAACGCCCATGCTTCTTCTTGGTTGCACATAACAGTCTTTATCTCACAGCTCTTTACGATGTCGGGGATATTGTACATGCTGTCCGTGGCAAGTGGGGAATCAAGTCAAATTGTCAGTGTTCCAGCAAGCTACAGAAGCCATTAGTAAAACCAGTTGTCAAGGAAGACCTCAAACCGGTATATATTTAATGATATTCTATGCATTTTTAGGAATATCTATAAATAGGCCACATTGATTCCAAATGGTGGTTGGTGTTCTAAAATAGAGGGTAGAACCATACAGTTTGCACTCATGATCTTTTTGTGTAAATGTTTTTTACTTTTTTTTTGTCTTCTAACCTTTCTTCACAAGACAAAGAGATTTATAATTTAAAATAAAAATAATAATTTGGGTGTGCCTAGGCTGGCCCTGTAACCTGTCTTCTCTATTAGTCTGCCAGTATAAGAGTTATGGGTGTCATCACAGTATTTCAATGAATTTTCCTTTTACAGAGCTCCCCCTTACCAGCTGAACCCACAAATGGAAACCTTACTGAGCCTGAGAAGAGCGCTACACCAGAGCCTGTACCTGCTTGCATTAAACCGCCTGCACCTCCAGTTCTGGGGCCATTAAGTTGGTTGACCAGTCTCCCACATGGATCAGTGAACAAGGAAAATAAAGGTATTGGTTGTTTATTTTTTGGTTGCTAGAAGGCAGTGCTAGCTACTGTTCCATAGTACTTTATTGCCATTATGGGTTACTTTCACATTTATTTATTTTTTACATAGAAATGCTTTACACAACTATTGGTAAACACATTGCCTCCCAACACAGACTAAAATGTATCACCTTTCGATTGGTATATTACTTGGAATCAATGCCTTTGTAATATTAGTGGAGGTTTAGCTAAGCAATGAGTGTTTTTGTTTTTTTTTAGCTTGTGTAAATATGCACTCAACACTTTTTTAAAAAAAAAATGTTTTTTTAAATTTTAATATTTCAATTTACAGATAAACCCTTGTCGTCCTCATTTAAAACAGAGTCTAAAACACTACCATCCTTTTCCACATTTGGAAAGCCTGTATCTGCTCTACAGTCATTCAGTAGCTCCATTCTGACACCAATGAGTAGTAATAACTCCGGCTTCTTGCGAAACCTGCTCAACTCCTCCAGTGTGAAGGTGAGTACCTCCAAAATGCAGTATTCTTTGTCATGTACCAATTAAACATCTCATCTGTTGAGTTTGGGAGTTTCTGTTTATGGTCACTTTTGTATTTGTTTTATTTTTATTTTTTTACATTGGTGTTTGTTGCCAAAGGACACCTGTAACAATTTTTGAAGACCTAGTATATCTGTTAATTCTCCCCCCCCTCTTTATTTATTTTTTTCGTCATTAAAATATGTGTAATATGCCAGTTAGTTATGCTTAGAGGTTGGGGATACAATAATTTGATAGTCTTCTTTTAAATTCTATTGTAGTTCTTTCTCCCTATATTCATTTACATCTGTAACTTATTTTCAGCAAGAGACTAGCGAGAAGAGCACTCCTAAGCTCTTGGATGACATCTTTGCTTCATTAGTACAATCTAAACCTGTGAGTGATGCTGCCAGAAAGCCACAGGTACTCCCAATCCAGCCAAGTCTCATGGGATTTAATACACCGCACTACTGGCTATGTGATAACAGATTGCTTTGCCTGCAAGATGCCAGCAATAAGAGCAACTGGAATGTGTTCAGGGAATGCTGGAAGCAGGGTCAGGTAAATACCAATAGGTGTATTTGTGGTGTGTGTCTGTTTTTTGGTTTGTTTGGTTTTCTCCATCTGCTCTCAGCATTTTACATTGGTATTTCACTTACATAAATGAGATTATTTATTTTTTTCATCATTTTTCCTTAAGCCTGTTATGGTATCTGGAGTGCACCATAAATTGAACACTGACATCTGGAGGCCAGAATCCTTTAGGAGAGAGTTTGGTGACCAAGAAGTTGATTTGGTGAATTGTAGGACTAATGACATTATCACAGGAGCCACTGTTGGTGAATTCTGGGATGGCTTTGAAGATATTTCAGGTGTGTAGCATTTAATGCAGCGAATGTTTACTTTTTATTTTTTACATGCATTGTACAAAATGAATGCATTACATAGAGGTGTACCTCACTTTACAGCTCTAAAAATGTACAAAATACAGTATTCATTCAGTACTGTACAGTATGTATTTTCAGTGCCTGCATTGTCAATGTTTGGCACACACATCAGCTATCTCTAAGCTGAATACAGTTACACTGCGGTGTTATAATGGCTTAAAGATATTAGACAGTAGGCACAAGTAAATGTATGTGGCTGCCATTATGGCGTTGGTCTTGAACCTATGGTATGCCTGTTTTGTGTTTTAACTATATGTGCTCTGTCATAGCGGATGGTTTTGTACTTGTGGTTTTTTTACGGTTTTATCAGTGGTCCCTTCTATGGAAGTTACAGGGCATATCTAAATGTCTGCATGTGACTAATGCCCTGGCATAGCACTAAGTGAAAGAATAGAAGTCTCTGGAGACTTTATTTAGCAGCAAATATGCATGGAACGGAGGTCGGTCCCAGGTATACTCTCAGCGTCTCAGGAACATTTTATACATGGAAAGTCCTTTTTTAAATTGTACTTTCTCTTATTGACATTATTTAAATTGTCTTTATAGATTTCTGACTCCGTTACAGTTGGTTACAAATTTGTCACTAGTTGCACTGCCATTACATGTACTTTGTAGAACTGTGTTCATTTTTATTCCTTTATTTTTGTAGAGATATATAGATATAAATCTCTATCTCTACAAAAATAAATATACATTTATTTATTTTTTGGGGAGGCGGAGCTGACAGCCAAGCTGACTGGTCGCACTCTTTGATAGCTCCGTAACTTCAAGCACAAAAATCGCCAAAAAGACGACTTTTACCCCCAAATTGTGAGACAAGCTGAGCTCCCCTGACTCAAACTTGATGGGCAGGAAAAATAAAAAAACAAAAGCCATAACAGCTCCAGCGTGGCGTGAGCGTTGGAGATCTCTGGCGGGCGAGCTCATGGCTCTCTGGAACCCAATATGGCTGCCTACGTTGACTACTTCGATGAATCAGACGAGCAAATCTCGGACACAGAGGGCACCCGCCTACCTTTGGCAATGGTCCCAACGCAAACCAAGCCGCAACTGGTCTCCACCCCGGTCACGAAGGTGGTCAGGCAGGAAATACTGGCGGACCTCAGGCAAAACATCCAGGCAGACGTGGCTGATATCCGTAAAGATATCCAAGGCTTGACAGGCCGCATGGGGACCTTAGAGCGGAACTCCTGCCGCCACACACAGCAAGTCACTCTGCTACAAAAGGACTTAAAGACGCTGCAACAACAACACCTAGTAATTGAACAAAAGATGGCAGCGTTGGAGGACTCGAGCCGCGCTCAAAACCTCAAGATACGAGGTATAGCAGACTCTGTTCCAGACACGGTACTACTTCACCTCCTGAGGTGCCTGGTGAGCGCGATACTCCCACCCAAGCAGGCTAAAAGGGTGAGCCTCGACGGCATGTTCATAATCCCCAAGTCAGCTGCAGCAGCAGCAGCAACAAGGGACTTAATCGTACGATTTCAGAGGAGACAGGACAAGGATGCAGTTGTGGCCGCAACCAGGAACAACTCACTGTATGTCTTTGAGGGCATGGCCCTTACATTCTACACGGACTTATCCAGGGGACTTATCCAGGGGAACCATGGCCTGGCGAGCATCCCTCAAACCCTTTACATCCCTACTCCTCTCACATAAATGGCGCTCATCCCATAAGCTACATACACCATTGCGGATTTGCGAGAGGCAACAACGCACCTGGCAAACCTGGGGCTCCCACAAGACTCTTTACAAAGGCCCTGCTCTGCTTCCAAACCCCACAAGTGGAACCCGGCAACATCCGAGACATTTGTTCCCCGAGGGCCCACCCTTGCAGCATATGTGAAGGCTACTACCTGAACCCTCCTTGTGGGAACACGGGGCCAGATCACCCATATCACCCATATCTACAAATACTATAGGTTTATTATTTGATTGTTACTTATACTTTGTTTGCACCCTTTTATAGAGGCACCCACCGACAACATAAGATGTGCCAATTGGCAACACAAGGCCACCCCAACACCAACAGGCTCCCAGGTTGCGGAGCCCTTTCCGTTTTAAGGACACCGGCTCCTGCCGCTCTGAGTACACTTTGCACGGGCATGACACATACTCATACAGAGTACCGCTAACCCTGACTTTGTCCTGCCTAGACTTATTAAGTTTGTTTCTTACTTGCTTATCTATTTTGGCTTAAGTTTATTTTATAATACACGGCACTCATGACCCCCAGGGTTGTCAGCCCACCACTAATGGGCATTGGCTGAGCAACCCCACACCAAATCTGTTATCACATCATGCCCCATGTCTGACATGGTATAAGGCAATTAACCTCCTGGCATAATCTCTCTCCCCCTAAACGCCTCCCAATACAGAAGCAGCCTCAAGCTTATCTAAAATCATATCTGCCTAATTTTACCCCACCAGTTAAACCTGCCCTTTGAATGGCTCACGGTCACCTTAATACACACCCTTCTGATCCACCTTAAAGGCAGTGCAACTACATAGGCCATGTTAACCTCCTTAGCAGATGATCCCCTGCTGCCGAAGTACTATATTAGCTTGTAGAAGGCGTACAAAGCAACCCCTCATCTCAAGATATATATTTCCACATGCCCTTACTAACACCACCCAACGGCCACTTAGCCACAGCAACCGTTACAGTATAACATGATACATGAAGCTCTGCTTTGTGCCCAAACCAATGTCGGACCACATAGTGTGTTTTAACCATTCTGTTCTCTCATTACCTGACATTACTAGTATTAGCCTGTTTAATACCTAAAAATGTGCCGTTTGGTTATATGCCACAGTCTTTTGCTTATAATTACTATTGTGGTATGCAACGCTTGCCTGTCAAACCTTTCCACAACAAAAATAAAGAATAATAATAAAAATTTATATATTAGTTTTCCCATTTTTTGTTTTGATTAGTATGTCTCTTTAATATATTGGCATACTAGTAGTACCTTTAAAAAAAACAAAAAACAAAAAAAAACAACATTTTCTTAAATCATTAAAGTAATCTGTAACCCAATCTAGGACAGTCTCCACACTGAAGTTTAATTCTCCCTCCCCTCCCCCTGTGATCTTGCTGAAATCAAAACTACTTTTATCCAATCAAATGCTTTCCATAGGGAAGAACTGCAAATACTGTACATGCATGACAAACGCCACAATACACACAATCTTTTTCTTTTTGAGAAAACTTGAGACCAGGTTCTGCTAGGCTGTAGGGACATATGTGTCCCAAAATTCATTAAGATGGAATGATTTGGGTGCTTAGTGTTCTCTTGTATTTGAAGTTCACTCTCAATGAAACAGATGATTTGTAAAAGGTGTGGTTTTTTTTGTTTTTTTATTTATTTTTTTTTTTATTTTGTTCAGCTCGCCTTAAAACCAGTGAGGGGGAAGCAATGGTGCTGAAATTGAAAGACTGGCCTCCGGGTGAAGATTTTAGAGATATGATGCCATCACGGTATGTGATTCTAATTAAAATGGTTAAATGTTCAGAAAACATTAGCTAAAAAAATTAATTGTGCATATAACTTCTTGTAAATTAAACTCTTTCCTTCCACAGGTTTGATGATCTCATGAATAACATACCACTACCTGAATATACTAGGAGAGAAGGCCGGCTGAACCTCGCTTCCAGACTTCCATCATACTTTGTACGGCCTGATTTAGGACCTAAAATGTACAATGCTTATGGTAAGCGCATTCTGACAACCCCTCCCATTTTTTAAATTTTGAGTGTACTTTATTAATATTGGTGTTGAATGCATTTTTTTTTTTACCTCTGTCTATGACTATCTTTAACAGGATTAATAACTCCTGAGGATCGTAAATATGGGACAACAAACCTTCACTTAGATGTGTCCGACGCAGCTAATGTGATGGTGTATGTGGGAATCCCGAAAGGACAGAATGACGAGGAACAGGGTATGTCTACACTGGAGTGCTTTTGCATGTGTGTGAATTGCAGATGCTCGGTATTAACGAACATTAAATATCCTTTGTATCTTGTATTGCAATAGAAGTGCTCAAGACCATACAAGATGGCGATGCAGATGAATTGACCATCAAGCGCTATGTGGAGTTAAAGGAGAAACCTGGAGCCTTGTGGCACATTTATGCTGCTAAAGACACAGAGAAAATCCGTCAGTTCCTGAAAAAGGTACATATGACCAAGGATATGTAAGCGGTATGATATACATTATGGGGCTGAAACTGAAATGTAATATAAATTAAGACCCAGAATCAATAAAGTGCCAAAATCCTGTGGGTTTTTTTGTGAATGCTTCAACGTTCTGATATTCGTACTTGGTGGGGATAGACCGTGATTGAACTTAGAACATGAAATGCCATCATTATGTTTAAAAAAAACGGATAAATTTAGAAGCATCTCTTTTCCGTCATTTGTTTTTGCATTAAGAAGGGGCAGGATCAACTCTGGCCTGAATTGTCTTTTAAATTCCAACTTACAGTCTGTGTGCAAGAGCATTCTTAGTTTTTTAGGTCTTCATTTTTGCTATCTTCTTCAGGTTTCAGAAGAGCAGGGCCATGAAAACCCTACTGATCATGATCCCATTCATGATCAGAGTTGGTACCTGGACAGTGCCATGAGGAAGCGCCTATTTAAAGAGCATGGTGTTCAAGGCTGGGCAATCGTTCAGTTTTTGGGAGATGTGGTCTTCATACCAGCTGGAGCTCCCCATCAGGTATTGACTTTACACTGTCTGTGTTAAACACTGTGTTTGAAACTCATCCAGGCATTGTCTAAGTTTAAAAATTAATTGTCTTCCTAAAATAAGGGGTGGACAAGAATACTTCAAGTGGTTTAGTGATCTGTGATAACCCTGTATGACAATATGTTAAATGACTAATTTGTTTTCTCTCTTCTCAGGTTCATAATCTGTACAGTTGCATCAAAGTTGCAGAAGACTTTGTTTCCCCAGAGCACGTGAAGCACTGTTTCTGGTTGACTCAGGAATTCCGCTATCTCTCACATACACATACAAATCACGAAGACAAACTTCAGGTAAGGGGGATCAGCTAGAGATGTAGGTGTATATTGCATTAAATGCTTGAATAGTTTTGAGGTTTGAGGTCAGTTGCAAGTCTCCGTTGTTTCAAAGTTGTTGTAGGGTTTAGTATAGGCCACTCAAGCCGTCATCGATGTGGTGTAAAAATGTGACGTGGAAGTGGCTATTATAAATACATTTTTCTTTTGAAGACAGGAGTATATAAAAACAAAAGCTCAACTTCCTCTGGCTACTTTAATTTTTGCTAGGGATCAACTGATTATTGGTCTGGTAGATATTATTGGCCGATATTCAGTATTTTCAGCAATATCCGTATCGGCCAATAAAGATACCAATTATTGCCAATAATGCAGACCAGGGCCACCATCAGGGTCCTGGGGGACCCAGCACACTCTTACTTGCCTTCCCAGCAGTTCCCCTGTCTAACTCTCGCGATTCCCGCGGCCGTCAGAGCGTTGCCACGGGTGTCCATGACAACGCTCCGAGCGCCACATAGGCTGCTAGAGTTAGACAGGGGAGATATTGGGAAGTAAGAAGAGTGTTGTTGGGTCCACTGCGGGCCCCCCAGGGAAAGCCATATCCCCTGTCCCAGGCCAGGTAAGAAGCAGGGAGGGGGGACTAAATCAAAATGTAAACTTAATATTTAACAAAAAATTTAAATTAAAAAAAGTGAATACAAATTACACACATTACATACCTGCACAAACACACTCTGCATTCATTATATACACACTGCACAAACACACTCTGCATTCATTATATACACACACTGCAAAAACACACTCTGCATTCATTATATACACACACTGCACAAACACACTCTGCATTCATTATATACACACACTGCACAAACACACTCTGCATTCATTATATACACACACTGCACAAACACACTCTGCATTCATTATATACACGCGCACACACAATACATAACACACTGCATTTACTAGACACACACTACACAAACACACTCTGCATTCATTATATACACTCTACACAAACACTGCATTCACTTATCAAATCCTCTCACTGCATCCACTACACACACACATTCTTGAAAACATAAAACATTTTGACTGGCATGTATATTTTGTGCATTTACCTTAATAAAATAATAAACCTGTTCAGTTAACAGTAGATTTGTGTAGAAATAGTTTCTTTTTTCAAAATCGTAAATGTACAGAATATCGGTATTGGCTTTTTGGCCTGAAAGATCAGATTATCGTTATCTGCTCTAATAAAATCTATATTGGTCGATCACTAATTTTTGCAAAAAAAATTGTGCCCTATTGAAGTGACCGACCTTTATTTTCCAGTATTTGTACTTGTATTTCAGTTTATCACACAGTCTCTAAAATGATATTTTGATGTTTATGTTTTCTCCGCAGGTAAAGAATGTGATCTACCACGCTGTAAAGGATTCTATTGCAATACTAAAGGCTAACGAAGCAAGTCTTGGGAAAGTTTAATGATGATGCCTTAGTACAAGCAAATTTTTATGAACTTCCTCTGGCAGCTGTATTAAACACATCACTAGATTTACCAAGATGAGAAGACTATGAACTTTTTACCTCGCTTTTTTTTTTTTTAATTAAAACTGTAAGCACTACCTTTTACTGAATCACCCAAGTGGGTTTTTAGGAAATGTTTACAGTCACTGGAAACATCAAATGAAGACTGCAAAGCGGAGGTGAACAAATGGGATCGAATTTGATCAATTTCCTCTTTTTTTTTTTTTTTTTTCCAAGATGTCTATACTCAGCTGCAACTTTGAGCTCTGTCCATAAATGGGGAAAGTCAATATAAACTTTTTTTATATATCTATAGAGCGAGTGAGCGGTGCCATGTGAAAGGAGGAGAAACGTAACCGTTTAAGTGCCAGAGTTGAGCAGCTCCTAGCTTTTTAACATTTTGCTTACCTTTGGCATGCAAAGGGTTAATGTTTGAAAACCAAAACACTTTTTTTAGACTGTACAAAAATATACCTCTTTAGGGTTTTTTTTTTTTTTTTTTGGAAAATGTTCCAGGAAAAATCAGCTGTAAATCTGGTCCTTTATCCTATTTTGTTTTCTTAATATTTGTGGGATGGTAGGGAGATAACAACTAGAGCATTTTTCTTTTTTTTATAAATATATAAATATATATATATATATATAAAGACATTGCAGCCTTGAAGATTACTAGAATGTGCATTCTAAGTAAAATGTAAATAAGCAGGCTCTTATCATTTTACATCAGTTTAGAATTAGCACTGATGTGCCTGGCAGTTTGTGTAATTAATGCATTGATTTAGATGAAACGTTTGAATTGTATGAGTTTAATTTAACATTACTTTAGAATATTCCTTTGCCTGACTGTAGAGAGGATGTGTGTAAGGAGAAACCCGTTGGTTCACGGGCCATCAATGAGTACACTTGTAATTTTTTTTTATTACTTCAGTACTTATGAATAAAGTAATTTGTGTTCTCTGCATCAGTCCTCTTTATTGATTTCTATTTTAGAACTGTGTTCATATCAAGTGTCCCAACTGGTAGCACACTGATTATGTGTGCCAAGATAGCTGCAGATCTTGGTGTCTGCCTCCACAGTAGCATTGTTTCCCATGTGATCGCTGTATACAACAGTATAGTGAGGTGTAACTGGCAGTGCTGACTTGAGTTCCTGACACATGTAGTGAGTGTGGATACTGCCTATAAAATCTAAAACCTCATGTGCAACAGTATTTAGATTTTATATTTGATGTGGCTAAGTGGAAATTTGGGAAGCTTTGTTCAAAAAGTATTCATCTGGGCTGTTTCTCAAAGAAGGGCAATTAAACTTCTGCAAGTAAGATGGATGCCCAGCACAGGGACTTTGTAACTGGACACTATAACACATGCCATATATGACCTTGTAGGGCCACACAAGCCTGCTAATATGCATGACCAGTGCTGTGGCTGTAGATTACCATGAAAATAATAACATACATGCATTTTGCGTATATTTGACAATTGTTGCATGGAAAGAGTCTGAATACTCTGCAACGTCTATGTGCTTTGGTTTCTCTAACTGAAATTCAAAATAATGGCAAAGCACTCCAAATTGCTCAAAGATTTGGAAGGACACTGTAAGCACTATAACCATTTCATCTAATTGAATTGGTTATAGCGCCTGAACTCCCCTGTCACTGCCCCTCCATTCAGTGTTAACCTCTTAACATTGTCCGGGCAAGCTTTGCCAGCTTGCAAAAGTATGTTATGGCGGCATAGCACACCCTAGAACCTGTCCTCTACAGCGATGCCATTCAGGGGGACAGCCTGACAACAGAGGCAGTGCCCCTGCAGTAAATTGTGCCCTTCCAAGTCATGTGATCGAGATGACACCGCGATCACTTGACCAGATCGGCTGGAATGCATCGTTGACTACATCGGGACAGCCTGAGTTGTTGGGCAGATCACTTAACTTACAGTTAATAAAGCACAATTATGGACAAATAAACACTTTTTATATACATATATCTAATGGACTAGAAGTGTGGTGTTTTTTTTTTTTTTTTTTTAATTATATATTGAGGAACCTGCCTGACAACCCATGCAAAAAGTACAGCAATTTAATTTGTAGGCTCTATATTTGATCCTGTAACGTTCCAAAACCCTATAAAACCTGAACATTGGGTATTGCTGAACACGTGTTTTTATTGCTGTAAAAGTGAACAGTATTATAACCTTTATAGTTAAAATGCCATGCAGAAGTCAGAAAATAAATGTTTCTTAACTTCTCACACTGTATTTAGATTTTAGTTTTTTTTTTTAAAATGGAACACAATTTAATATTTGACGGGAAATGAAAGCCTGATTTCTCCTGAACATAATGAACATATGTTGTGTGGATGTACATAATTGGAAAGAGGCAAATTATGATTGAGCAGACATATAGCTTAAGTTTTATTTTGGTGAGAACATATGTACAGTTTCTATGTCCATAAGGGTGTTAAAACAATATTTGGGGGGCGTGGCCTGACCGTCAATGGAGTAAGTCGCACTCCATCAGAGCTCCTAGGCCCCAGCCTGTCAAGCCTGGTGTCAAAGCCTGAATTCAGCGGTATTTCGTTCCACAATGGGGAAGACTAAAAGAGCAGCATCCCAGGACCACTCCGGCCCGACGGGGACCCGATACCCGCCTGGCCCGATGGACGGGTTTTTGGCGACGCCACGAGGCCTCCGAGATGGCGGGGACTCTGACACCCCGGGCCCCACATCCCCTGGATCAAGCGCCACCACCTCAGGTAGAGGCTCCCCGATGTCGGGTACCCTGCATCAACTGGCGGCAGACGTCGCCCGAATTACAGCTAGCATGTTAACGCGCGCAGACAAGGCGGACATGGTGTCCGAACTGCGCGCCATCATCAGGGAGGAGGTGGCGGTGCTGCGGACTGACCTCAATGCCCTGGAGCAGCGTGTAGATGGGCTTGAGACCGGCCGCCTGCAAGCCGACCAGCGCCAGCAGGCTACGGACCTGGCTACTACCCGGCAGGGGAATATCCTGTTAGACCTCCGGCGGCAAGTGGAGGATTTAGACAACCGAGGACGGCGACACAATATCAGAATCCGGGGCCTGCCGGAAGCAGAGGGAGAGGTGCCGCAAGAGATACTCACAGGCCTCTTCGCGCAGCTGCTGGGGGAGAATGCCCCGGAGGATTTTGGCATAGAGAGAGCCCACAGGGCCTTGAGAGCACCCAGGAGAGATGGCCTACCAAGGGACGTGGTCTGCGCCCTGGCCTCGTTCCAGCTTAAGGAGGCCATCATGCAAGCGGCCAGGGCGCAGCCACGGATCCTATACATGGACGCTGAGGTCTCGCTATACCAGGACCTCTCACCGATCACTCTAGACACCCGGAGAGCGTTGAGACCACTTACTCGCTTGCTGCAGGAGCGGAGGATTCCCTACCGGTGGGGGTTCCCCTTTAGTCTGCAGGCGCGGATCGGAGCCACGTGGCACAGCATCCGATGGCCGAATGAGGTACCGCGTTTTCTAGTGGCGGCTGGTTTACCGGAGATGCGGATCCCGAACTGGATTCTGGAGGGACCACCGGCGCGAGCGACAGGACCGGCGGAGGTGGCCCATAATCTCCACCCAATGTCTGGATCGCAGCAACGCAGAGGTGGCCCAGCGGGGCCGGAGGAATAGACGACGGACCGCTGCCCTGGCCGGCAGGGACCCGGACTCCCCGGGCCCCAGCCGCAACGGAGCTGAGCAGAGACACGGCAGGGTGGACGATATATGGAGGGCAGGTACCCCCGGGGCTCCAGCAGGTTGGGTGGGGGGTATGGGGGGTTTGAGATAGGCCCACGGGAGTGATGGTGGCTCACTAGAGGGGGGGCTGGACGGGGGAGAAAGAGAGGTGGGGAGGGAGGAACGGGCCACGGGATGCACATTGGCGTCCGTTGGGAATCGGGGAGAGACTGCTGGACCTGACCTGGGGGGTCTTCGGGGGTATGTGCAGTTGCTGTATGCCCAGGAGTATGGGGGGTTGTCTCAACATCCACATGGCGCACTAGTGGCAGCGGGAGGGGAGCTGTGGGTGGTAGCTTGGAGTGTACATAGTTCGAGTGCCGTGGGCATGCTGGGGTTTTTTTTTGTTTTTGTTTTTTTTTTTTTCCACCCCCAACGGGTACACCGTTAGAACCGGCGGACGGAGGAAGCACGGAGATAGAGGAAGGTTGAGAGTGGTCGAGAGAGGGGAGGAGCGGAAGCTAGCTGGTCGGGGTCAAGCCTTAACCTGGCCCACGGTAGGAGAGCGGGGAGAGATAGGATAGCTGAAGCGCCTGATGAGGGGCGCAGGCACTCCTGCGGTGAGGGGGGTACTTTCATGGAAAAAGCCCAGACGCGGTGGCAACAGGGGGGGGCAGGTGAGACGTGGCCTGGGGTGGTGGAAGGATGGCAGGGGGTAGGACACCTGTATTTCTGGCTCGCCCAGGGTAGGATAGAGGCACTGAGGGGGCAGATGGGATCGGGGATCAGGAGGAGAGCACGGTTGGCTGGCGAAGCACCAGAGGGTCGAGATGGGAGGAGTAGGCAGCCTGGAGGTGGATGACAGTGCAACAGGGCTGGCCGTTGCGGGCCGGAGGGGCCAGTGGGCCTCTAGAGAACGAGGCGGTTGCCGACGTGATGGCGGGCTTCCCCCAGGGCAAACACGGGAGTATAGCTCTTCTGACAGGTTGGGAGCCACGGGAGGAGAGGGTAGGCACGACATAGACGACTGAGACCGCTCCATATAGATGGAGACACGGTAGAACCTCACTGTGACAGACCCATACTGTACATAATACCGGGGCATTTGGGGACGGAGGGGACGTTCCACAACCGACGAAAACCGGTACAGGGTTACAGTCACATCCTTAATAAGTACTTTCCCGACTCCCCTTCTCCCCCCTTTTTTTTTTTTTTTAAATTTTATTTCCTTTCTTCTCGCCCTGCGTTGCTGCTTCCCTCGCGGTCTCCCCCCTGTGGGTCGCACCGGGGTTATGGCAAGTGCGGATCCCCCCTCCGGGGCGCGGCGGGGCGGCACGGGATTCACACCAGCTGGACTAACATTCTGGTCCCTCAACGTTAGAGGCCTCAACATCCCGGAGAAGCGCTCCTTGCTTATGCGGCGGCTGTGGGCCGCGAGAGCGTCCGTGGTGTTCCTGCAGGAGACGCATTTTCGTCAAGGGGACGCCCCGAAGCTGGGAGATAAACGATATTCCATCGGGTTTTATGCCAACCATCCGGAGGCCAAAAAGGCTGGAGTGGCGATATTGTTCGCGAGTACGATACAGTTTCACTGCACGGGCATACAGGCGGATCCCCAGGGACGGTACCTGTTTATCAAAGGCAATATAGCGGACACCACATACACCTTTGCGTGCCTATATTGCCCCAACAGACGGCAACATACGTTCATCGGGCAGACGCTGGCCAAGTTGGGGAGGTTTCGAGAGGGGCTGCTGGTGGTGGCAGGTGACTTCAACCTCCCGTTGGACCCTCGTAAGGATACGTCCAGGGGTGTTAGCACTATCCCCACACACTGCCTGAGGGCGACTCTGCGTTCCCTGCACAAACTGGACCTAGTGGACTGCTGGAGGGCGAACCATCCCGAGGATAGGGATTACACTTACTACTCGACGGTCCACACCCACTACAGCCGCATAGATTACGTATTCCTGGCGCAAGAGTATTTGGCGGTGCTGCAGGGGTCGGAGATAGGGAGCATGGAACAGTCAGACCACGCGCCCATGATAGTACATACGAGTGCCCCCCTTTTCAAACCCACGGAAAGGCAATGGCGGTTCAATGAGACCCTGTTGGACGATCCCCTCGTGGGGGCAGAGGTGTCACAAGCACTGACGGACTACTTTACCAGTAATAGCTCGCCAGAGAGAGCCCCACTGACGCTCTGGGAGGCGCACAAGTGTGTCATCCGGGGACGCCTCATAGCGATCAGCACGAAGCGCAAAAAGGAACGCACAGCTCGACTGGTTCGGCTGGCGGGAAGGGTGGCGGAGCTGGAACAGGCACATAAACGCACGTTAGATGACGAGACCTATTGCCGGAGACCTATCTTGACGGAGACATGGCGAGAGCTCCGCACCATACTAACCCAGGGCATGCTACATACTGCGCGTAAGGCGGCAAGGTTCTTTTACGAGCATTCCAACAAATGTGGTAGGCTACTCGCAAAAATGCTCCAGGATAAGAGGAGGGCGCAGCATATACACAAGATTCGCACGCAGGAGCAAACAGTCACTCACCTCCCGGATGGCATCCTGCGAGCATTTCAAAAATATTACGAGGCATTGTACGGTTTAGCTGGCACCCGGTCCGAATCCCAGAGAAGGCGGCATGGGGTGCAGGTCGCCGCTTACCTGGGCAGACACGTGGCCCGCAAGATAACCCCGGAGCAGGAAGCTGAGCTCGATCAACCTATGACACTGGAGGAGCTTGCGGGAGCACTGAAAGCAGCCCGGCCCAACAGGGCCCCGGGCCCGGATGGCCTGCCGGTGAGATACCTCCGCGAGTTCAGGGAGGTCCTATTGCCGAGACTCCTAGAGGGGTGCAATTCACTGCGCACGGGAGGCCGATTTCAGGCGGACACGTTAAGGGCGACGGTAGCGCTCATCCCAAAAGAGGGCAAGGACCCCACGAACTGTGCGAGCTACAGGCCCATCTCGCTATTAAACGCGGACCTGAAGGTCTTCGCCAAGGCTCTGGCATTGCGAGTGGCTCGGGTGGCGCCTGACCTCATACACTCCGACCAGGTCGGATTTATTCCGGGTAGGGAAGCCCGGGACAATATGATTCGAGCCCTAAACGTCATACACGTGGCGAGGACAAACAGGCGGGAGCTGGTGCTCTTATCTACAGACGCTGAGAAGGCGTTTGATCGCGTGGACTGGACGTTCCTCTTGGAGACACTAAGGCATATGGGATTTGGGCAGCACCTCCGCACTTGGGTGGAGGTCTTATACGCGAGACCGTCGGCGCGAATCAGGGTCAATGGTGCACTCTCTGATCCAGTCACGATCTGCAACGGTACGAGGCAAGGATGCCCGCTGTCCCCCCTTCTGTTTGCCCTCACTCTAGAACCATTTCTGGAGGCGGTCAGACAGGACGGGGGTATCCCGGGGCTCCGCGTGGGCCGGGGAGAACATAGAGTGGCGGCCTACGCGGACGACATTCTATTTTTCCTGGAACAGCCTCGGATCTCAATACCTAACCTGCTGAAAGCGTTCAGAGAGTATGCTGTGGTCTCGAACCTCTCGCTCAACCTAGACAAATCGGAGGCCATGCCACTGACTTCAGGAGACGCCATGCCGAGGCACCTTCGCGAGCACTTCCCATTCCGGGTATGCCAGTCGAAGCTCAAATATTTGGGAATATGGCTGCCAAACGATTTAAAAGACGTATACACATTCAACTTTACTCCTCTTCTCACGACCCTACAGAGGGACATGAAAAAATGGACTTCACAATACATCTCCTGGTTCGGGCGGATCAATGCCATTAAGATGAACGCAATGCCAAGAATCCTTTACCTGTTCCAGACGCTGCCGACGTGTATCCCGCGATCGTTCTTTCAGTCCCTAACAACCGCCATACGGAATTTAGTTTGGACTCGGGGAGTGGCTCGTATTGGCAGGTCAGTTCTGGAACGACCGAAGCATGCGGGGGGCAAGGGTCTCCCATCGGTAATCACCTACTACCAGGCGACCCATCTATGCCGCCTGGTGGATTGGCACGTGTTCCCGACCGCCAAGCAGTGGGTGGACATGGAGCGTCAACAAGCGCAAGGACGGATTCCCTCCCTGCTGTGGCTGGACGGCACGGCTCTGGGTGACATTCACACGGGTAATCCAATGATAGACTCCACAATGCGTGTGTGGTGTAGGACCAGATACGTGAAGCAATTGACCACGATGCCAAACCCGCTGATTCCTATAACAAACAACCCGCGGCTTGCGGGAGGACTTAAGCGGGCGGACCTCGAGAGCTACGCGGCGACGGAATGGA